ACGTTGCAGGGCTTCTTTTTCCAGAAGTTTTTCGGGTCGGGAACTATTCAATTTTTCATGACTATCATCATCACTAACCAACATTTTACGATCACTTTCGTCATCGATTTCATCATTACCAATGTCTTCCAGCCTTATGGGTGAGTTTCGGGTTTCTTTTTTCCGATCCAATTCATTCGATTCCGATTTACTAACGGCATCTACTTCAATCTTTTCAATTTCTTTCTCATAGCCGTATTCAATCAGACGTGCTTCATTGGTATCACCCATATCTGCGGACTGTTGGTAATAAACGAGTGCATCGTATTCATTCTTTTTGATACCAATTCCGTTTTGGTAACATTGTCCAAGGTCAATTTCATCGACGAAACACTCTTTAGCATCGGGAAGATGCACTACAGGACTTTCGATGTCATGCCAAGGATTTCCGTACAGCTCTAATTCGTCACAGAGACGATCATCGATGATGTTCTGTTCATGGCCCATATCCTTTCCACTATCACGACCCATTTTTGCGGATTTTTGGTAATAGGCAAGTGCATTGGGTTGGCTCTTTTTAACTCTAACTCCATTATCTTTGTCCTTTTCGACTTCAATTCCACCCAGCTTTTTACCTTCAGCAGGTTTCCAATACCGTTCTTTATCCTTTTCAACACCATTTTCCTTCGGAGGTTCATGGACGATCTCTTTCGTTCTTGTCGGAGCCCATTTCTGTACGATGGCGTCGCACTTAGCAGCAAACTTTTGGAGGAGGGGCTCTAGGTCAACATTTCCAACTCCAAAACCAAGTTCCGTATTTCCTGCCACGGCAGGTTTTTTCCGGCAGAGCTTCACGGGAGGAACTCTCGGGGCAACAAACATAGAAGGTACTGGGGGCGGGCTTATTCTTCTTGCGGTTGGGGCTAGGGACAGGTATGCGATTTCTTTTTTTATATTGTCATTCTTTAACATTTTATCTATGAATTCCATTGTAAGCTCCAGGGCCTCGGTAATTCGCTCAGCATCAAGAGGAAGGTTGAAGCTCTCGTTTATCATTTCTTGAACCGACTCGAGTTGTTTCCATGTAAGTGACCTGAGAATCGTGGTACACTTTTTATCCAATCTACTCACGGCAGGACAAACAGGTACAGTGTGTCCTCCTACGTTGCAATACGTACATCAGGATCCTTTTTTGACGGGTTTGTACATATTTTTTTTTTTTTTTTTTTCTCTCTTTCTCTCTTTTTTTTTTTTTTTTTTTTTTTTGTTGGGGTGCTTGTTCGACTTTACTGATTTTTTCTCTCTTTTTTTTTTTTTATATAATAGCAACCGGCTGGTACTTGAGGCTGAAAATAGGGTACTACACGATGACGTATAATGATAGAAAAAAGAAAAAAAACAAGAAAAATACTGAGGACTCGGTTCGTCAGTCCTTAACAAAAACTCTAATACGCTAAAAACTCAATTCAGGCAAAAAACACAAT